AATTTATACTTTACATAGGTTCTCAACTTGTAATGGTTCTTTATGATTAAATAAATAAACGACATCAACCTGATTGCAGGATTAAAAAAAAAAAAAAAAAAAAAAAAAAAAAAAAAAAAAAAAAAAAAAAAAAAAAAATATAAAAAAAAAAAAAAAAAAAAAAAAAAAAAAAAAAAAAAAAAGAAAAGAAAGAAAGAAAAAAAAATTCTTTTCGATGAGATAAACAAGATTTACAGAACAAATGACATAAGTTGCAGTAAAGCCCCTGCATCGGTGAAAAGCAACCTCAAACAAAATCAATGTGTGCTTATTTCCATTTCCAAAACAATTTTCGTTGTCTGATTTTGTGGCTTTATAAGTAAGAAATCAGGTCGTGTGACCGGATAACCAACTTATTTCATGCGTGAACTTGATCATGTGCTCCACAAAAATCATCTCGTTAAGGCACATTCCCAAGCCATGAAATAAAAATTTACTAAAATTGGAAGTTAAATATGAATTTATACAATTTTTAATTGATAAAAACGTCACGGATGCAGCAACCCGATCTGACAACTATACTGATTTCGCTCACGTACATACATGTGCGCGCACACTAGTAATTTTTTAAAAGGGTTTTTCCAGGTATCAAATAACTTTGGAAAAAAAAAAAAGTTCTTCGGAATTAAAAATAAACAATAAAAACGATCGACAAAAAATCATGCTCCTCAGAGATAACAAACAAGCCATTTTTTCCAAATTCTTTAAATTTTACAGGTATCTTCCTCGTTTGTTCAAGCCTTCTTACTTTTATTGTGGGACAATACCTTTTGTTTCCCGCTATTATGACAGTTCCTCAGATACGCGAACTACGCATTTGGATAGAAGGCGCATTGGTTGGAGACTGTCGGAAAATAATAATAATAATAATAATAATAATTAAATGAAGAACTCATCATATTCACAATCGATAATGTTCTTCCTTATGACGATAGAATCGTTCCGATATGGATTTGATAAGGGTTCAAATAGAGAATTAGAGAATGAAACATTAACAAGATGCCGAAACGATCATGTGTTTGAACAAGCCATCATTAACATGTGCCACTTATGTGATAGAAGAAAAAAAAAAAAAAGAAAAAAAAGTCGGTTCTCTGACGGAGATCAAACGTAACCGGTTATCATACCGGAAGTTTTTACAAATAGATCAAGGCACTAACTATTTCCAGCCCCCGGTAGAATGGATCGTGACTATGGTCAAATTGGACAAATTATGCTGGCTATGGTTATCGATTTTTGACGGGCACCGGGTTCAAATTCCTGATGTGTAAAAGGGAATGATGGACAATAAAAAGGAAGAATTTGGGTAGGAAAAATGTGCGTAAAAAGCAAAACAATCGTTCAAAATGGATTCTATGAAAACAGGTTAACCTAGGAAATTCGATTCAATGTTGATTATGTGTTGTGTATCAGATTGACAAATGCGCTAAGGAAAAGCTAAGGAAATTGTGCGCATCATTTCTAGAATGAATGTGCCACTCCAGAATGTTATACGTACTATGAGTGTACGTACGTACGTATGTACGTAATATGTATCATGTATGTGTGTGCACACGCAGTATACGGTTTATTACTTTACATTACGAGTTCAAAGGAAACTCACTACTGTACAGTGATTTTCTTCTTTCCTATAATGTTACAAATATTACGCCCAGTAGGTACGCATAGCTAGCACCTATCATGGATTGATTATAATCTGAAATAATGGTATCCATCTCATCAACCGGTGCTAAAATATTGTTTTTCCATAATCTCTCTTCCGTACTATTTGTGCGTATCTCCGAATCAACACTTGTCTGTCGCTGACCTTTTTTAAATGGGTTTTTTTTTTCCCTGTTCAACGATTCTCGAAATTATCCAGATTACAAATTTTGATTTTCGACAAATTTGGTAAGTACAAAACGAAAATCCGAATTTCTTAAGCAAGATGGAGAAAGGATTCTTGATGTTCAAAGACAATCAGAAAAAAAAAAAAAAATTTTTTTTTAAGACGATTTAACGAACGAATAGAATACGAATTCTCCTTTAACATTGCAAATAAAGCATCTTTTATTTGGAGAATTTTTTCCCAGGATTTGCGCCACAGTGTGCGTGTATTGGATCGGGACCTCACCCACTTGCAATGGAAAGTCAAAACCGTCTTAATCGTTCCCCTTCCTTAGCTTTCGTCGAAAACATTTTCGAATCCTGATTGCACGTGTCATCTTTCGCCATTGAAATCGTGAAGACACGAGGGACCACACGATTTAACAATTTCATATGTACCCAAGAGAAGGAAACGCCAACAATGATCTCATGACCTGGACAATATAATGTTTATAAGCTCAAATGGGAATATTTCCGGGGTGGGGACGAAGCAAATGTGCGTGATAGGGTAATTACTGATGACCGATAAACCCTGCTAAAATTTTGCATGCACGTGTTTGTGATTGTCTTTTCAATTCCTTTTATATGAAGGGAAATTTTTAAGGCCATTCATTACAGTATTAAGATACTCCAAATTTTTTAAGATTATTTTTTTTATTGTGTTTCACAAAAATAATAAAAAAAATTTTTTTCTTGTATATACAAAATGAATCTCGTTAGACTGAGAAATATACAGGATGTGTGTGAGAAAATGTGCACGATCATCGAAGCTGACCGTTAACATTTTTGTTGACATGGAAAGGAAAAGAATGTGATAGGAATCTGTACATATGAGAAAGAAAATAATGCTGATGTGACGTTCGTACGTCAGAAAAATGCAGGGGGTGAATAAGATTACAATCTTAAAATGTTGACATGGATAAAAAACAACAACCTTTTGAGTTGTATTTTGAGTAATTACGTAGAAAAATTTACAAAGGAAAGGAAGCTTAAGTATAGTTGGTGAATTACTATGGGTTTTATTTGCTTTGGATGTTTCTAAAAGAATTTTTATATGAAGTGAGGTAAGTCTATGCTCTTCTCTAGTTGTGACGTAGTTTTCTCGGGAGAGGTTCTTATATTCATTAGGTTTAAGAAACATAAGATGAAATTATATAGCGGAAAAGATATCTGTTTGCGATTATGTGAAAAATGAAAGAGTATATCGAAATGTGTTTGTGTTTGTGCTTGTGATTTAACGATACGAAAAAGGCCTGAAATGGTTTTTTCAGGAATATGTGTATGATAGTCCGAATTTTCTTCTAAATTACTGTACAAGTCGAAAATATACAGGATGGCTTTTATTCGTCCAAGAATGCCGGAATCTTGACGATTTTTTTTTTTTTTGTTGTTTTGTGTTATTAGTTTTTTTTTATTACAAGTCGAATATCTAGAAATCATAAATAAAATAAATAAATAAATAAATAAATTGAATGATGCTGTAACATCCGAAAAAAACTTGAGATTAGCTATAGTAACATACCCATTGTTCCATGGATGCTTCTTCTGTGGTATCTGTGGAATTTGTGGTATTCGCATCCTCGTGAATGTATTTAACGAGCCAGTCATCCCACAAGGAAGTCTGAGGGGTAACATATACCAAGTCAGAAACCGAACTTCCTTGACGAGAGTGTCTCCTGGAATGATTCTGATTCATCACGAATCTCGCTGCAACGGAGTTGGCCGCGGCACCAACGTGCGAAGAGGAGGTCTTGAGCTCATTGGAGGCGACGCTACTTTCCCTGGTGTGAATTTTTTTGTCAAGGCTCGTACTTTCGGAGGGTTTATACTGCTCGTTGTAGATAAGTCTGTTCTTGACAGAGGAGATGGTAACCTGAATGGGTGTCAAATCCACTTGGACCCCACCGGCGCTCACATCCACCTTTTCACCAATACGATTGATGGCACCGTTGTTGCCACGAAGACAGACACTTTGCTCGTACCACTGAGAATAGAAAGACATTCTTGCTGGGATAAGATATAGCGAATTAAAAGGTATAAGGTATCTGTAAAATTCTTCTCTCTAATTTGAGTTAAAGAAAAGTAATAATAATAATAATAATATATATATATATTTTTTTTTAAAAAAAATTTTTTTTTGTTTCAAAATGAAAAACGAAGAAATAAACGTCGAGGAAATATCCGTTCGTTTTATACTATTTTGGGAGTAATTTGATTTACTGATGATAATCAGGACTTGTTATTTCGTTTATTAGACTGTTTACGTTTTATTGTGGACCTATATACTGTCTATATACTATACTGTGCGCATAAGCATGTGGCGGAGAAGCTGTTTTTTTTTTTTTGTTTTTTTTTTTTATACTGATAATGTAAAATTTACTGATTAGTTTTAGAATATACGTACGCATGTGTGATGATTACAAAGAAATTTAGCACGATATGGAATTTGGAATTCGTTTGATAAAGGAAAACGTCACTACGATAATTCCTGCAAAAATCGGAACATGGCGCATTTGGCACAGCGTATGATAAAGTGATGCATCGATGATCCTTTGTTAAGGTTCCCAGTGTAGTCCTGCGCTCTGCAGCTGAGAATTGTCATCACCACCATCACCATCACCGTATACCCGTAGCAATAAAGGAATTTTCAATGATAAGAACGTTTCGTTTTTTTTTTTTTTTTTCCTCT